TACTCCTCGATGACCACCGCCGCCTTGCGGAAGAGCCAGGGGCCTCCATTGATCACTCTGTTCCAGTCACCAAGGCACATCAGTTGCGCCAGGAATATGTTCTCGCCCATTGGCTTGAAGGTCACCCCCTGCGCTGCCGTCCACACGTTCCTCAAAGATTTAAAGAGGGATACATGACTAAAGGGTTTCTGGGTATGAACCCTAAAGACGACAACCCATCTTGTCTCCTCGATCAACCCCTCAATCTCTCCAGACAGATCCAATTCCTCCTCTTCCTCGCCATGGAGATTCAGCCCCTGGAATCTGTCTTCTAGGTTAGGCCTGATCTCATCATGTTCAGCCCTTCCGTCATCGACCCCCGCGGCGGCACCCGCCACCGGAGCTTGCTCCGGTCCCGCCATGCAAGATCGTCTACTCTCTCACTCCGTTGGTGAATCACGTAAGGAACGCTCCACAGGAGGGTTCTTACGTGAGATTTCGTGGATTTTTGGTGGGATAGATGGGAACCCTAGCGATCGCCGCCAGGGGATAGGTAGGAACCCTAGAGCGGCTCTAGGGGATAGATAGCAGCCCCTATACTAAAACTAGTTTAAAGTTGAGACTTATTTTGAGACGGAGGGAGTACGTAACTAGCAAGTCTAGAATGGAGATGAGGATTAGTCTCGCTCGTATGTTATCCCGCAAAAAATTAAGTCCAGCTCCCATGTTTAGCATGCGTACAAACTGTCCAGGGAGGTATTTGATGGATTTAGCGATAGTGGGTTAGAAGGCAGAGGCCAAGAATTTGTACGGGAGGCCAAGGTGGGTTTAGGGAAAAGGGGAAATGGGGTAGCTGGGGGCTTAAAGGTGTGGTTTGGGTTAGCATCTCGTTAGTGTGCAAGGTGACGAAAGTTATTTTTTCAATTTTGACGCAAAGGCCGTTCACAAGGAAGGAAGAAGTCATGGAAAATGTGTTTTATGTACCTGGCGGATGTCTGATTAGTTTGAATGGGCTATGATGAGAGTGTCATCGGTGTATTGTAGCACAATTGGGGGCAAATCCTAAATGATGAGTGTATGCTACATGGCTCGAGCATAGTCAGGTTGTGATATTCCCACCTGTTGTAATCTTGCCGGTCACGTCCTTATCTTCTTTTTTTACATAGCACGGTCTTGACTTGTGATGCCACGCAAGTGATGACCATGCTCGCACAAGCAACAGTCAAGCCATGACAAGAGCCAGTCACCACCAACAGCTCCAAAAATTGAAGGAGGAAGGTCACGAGCACCGCCAAATCCCAATTCAAAACGCTCCGCCAGTTCCACGCCAGGACTCTAGATATGGACGTAGGCAACACGTGTAACAACATATGTATGCACTAAATGTGTGGCAATACAATCACGTCGCATCTCATCTGTTGTAATCTTGGCAGCCGCGTCCTTGTCTCCTTTGCTTGTTGCGTAATTATACGACTCTAGATATGGAGGTAGGCAATACCTGTAACAACATATATAGGCACTAGAACTAGATGGCTGGCAATACAATCACGCCCCATCTCATCTGTCTCTTACACTAACGAATGACGTGGGTTTGGTTGACATTCTACGGGGGCAGCTTCGATGAGACGTTGCGGGTCTCCCTGGATTTGCAATCGATGCAATGTCGGCGCACGCCTTTGGAAAAGAATGGAAGTCTTCCCGATTTGGAGTAGGCTTTGGAATACACGACGGGTGAGCGATTGCGCACGACGAGCGAGAAATTTCATAGGATCAAAAACTGGCTCTCACACACAAAAACACACACGAAAAGTTGCCGGTCGCGGAGCATTCATCTGAAAGCGTGAAAGTAAAAAACGCGATCTTGTAAAATTTCAGCAAGAAGGCGATCTTGGTGCGTGATCAGCACACATGGCATTAGTCGGGAAGGAAAATCCTAGCTACCCAGACCGCGCCATCCAAGCCGTCCATCTCGCGATCGGACGGCCCCGGACGTGCAACCGTGCATTTGCTCGATCCCTCACCGCCGCAACGAGATCCTCTGTACCTTGTTCTGCAATTCCGGGAATGAAATACTGCACGCTTTTAATCAATCAATCACGAGCCATTGCAAGAGGAGGGACATACGCGATTACATGCTGGAAATGGCGTACGCCGCATTTTTTGGCAGCGCGCAAACGCACGCAGCTGTGCGAGATAACCGCATGGCATTTTGGGGCTCGCGTGCAGCTATCTCCTCTTTCAAACGGGGAAAGGACAGCCGGCCGCGGTATCCTGCGCTGATTTGGATATACTATAATATCCACGGCATTACTGCCACGACAAACGAGAGATTTGGCTTGAATATTTTCCCCATTTGCTGCCACGCCTACGCTCGTGTCGTGTGCTCTCGTCTCGCGCGTGTATGTATAAATACATACACATGAGCACACAACTGTCGGCGTCATCGGTCGGTACGGCGGTGCTTGCGACCTACTGTACTACGAGCAGGCATCCCCAGCCAGCTCTTCTTCCGCCGATTCAGCTGCTGACCGTCGGTGATCATCATGGTACACGCGTCAGCTCACCAGCTCGGTCGGAAGGTACACGTAGGTTTGCCTTCTCATTTGCCTGACGTACGGATCTTGAACATGGCAGAGGATTGTGCTGCCGCTGCTGCTGCTTCTCGTGGCGTCGGCCGCAGTTGGATCTGCGGCGGAGGCCGGGCGGCGGAAAGGGAAAGGAACTCGATACAGCGTCATGGCTTTCCATGCCGCCGGGGACGGCGAGACGGATGATTCCAAGGTATAGCAACAGCGTACCCCCATATGATTCTCGACGTGCATGCATCTTGGTCACCACATTGCCGGTGAGATCAGATCTCTCTTACTCATCTGCACCCTCCGTCTTCGTCTCGCCGACAGGCGTTCGAGGAGACATGGGACTCAGCTTGCAGAGATAGCGGCGGGGCGACGGTGTACGTCCCTGAAGGAAGGACCTTCCTGCTGGGAGAAACCAAGTTGCAGGGACCCTGCAAGTCACCGATCACCATGCAGGTAAAAAACATCCGTCGACGACGATCAAGACGGCGTCCGTCCTGCATCACCCATCTTCGTCTCTGGTATCTAGCACAAGAGGTATCACATAACCGAGGTTTGTGCTTGTGCAGGTGGACGGGGACATCGTGGCGCCAAGCTCCCTCTGGAGCCTAAAGTCGTTAACAAGCCTCCTGGCCTTCTACAGGGTGGACAACCTGACGGTGGACGGCATCGGGCAGATCGACGGCCGAGGCGCGCCGTGGTGGGACTGCTACAACCAGAAGGTAACAGCAACATACCTGGGCAAATAAACATGGCCGTTCCTTCTTCATTCCATCTTCAGATATACATACATTGTCCACAACCTGACGCCCCTCCCTCTCTCTGGTTCCCACAGAAATGCCATTACCGGCCACAGGTAAGCGCACACGCAATCCCTCTTTCAGTTTCAGTCTGGAACTACTAGCTAGTCAGACATATGTGTGTGTCTGTGTTGAAACTCATCCAGGCTTGCACATACATGCAAACCATGCAGCTGGTGTCATTCTCGTTCTGCAACGGTCTACGGGTGACCAACATTCGCCTCAAGGACAGCGCCGACAAGCACATGAGCGTGTTCGAGTGCAGCCAGGTGCAGGTGCACAACGTCTCCGTCATGGCGCCCTGGGACAGCCCCAACACGGACGGGATCACCATGGGGGCCTCCGACCATGTCCGCATCTCCTCTTGCAACATCCACAGCGGTACAGCCCCGCCTCCTTCACTAGCCCCTGACTGATAAATAAGATCCAGTACATGCGTATTGCACTCTCTGGCATCAAGTGTGTTTGCAATACTCCTGAAGCATGTTTGCAACACTGCCGCTGACATGGATACATTGGACAAGTGCAGGTGATGACTGCGTGTCGATTCTAACGGGTACCACCGATGTCAACGTCACTGACGTCACGTGTGGGCCCGGCCATGGCATCAGGTATACAGATGCACTACACAGCCATGCTTGTATATGCAGGCCTGTGCTGACCAAGTGCATAATATATTTCTGATAAGCATTCTCTAGTGAGTAGCATATCACATTGAGGAAGGTGGCTTTTCTGATCTTGTTGTGTAGTGTGGGAAGCCTTGGAGGTGCCGGTGAAAAACCAGCGCTGGTGGAAAGAATTACACTATCCAACTGCAACTTCTTTAGTACGATGACCGGTGTCAGGATCAAATCGTGGCAGGTAACACTGAAGCCGCATCTACATGCATGTGTGTGCCTTGCATCAGTTCAAAGATACCAACTGATGGTTGCATGCATACGCCATGTAGTATGTTCCCCAAACTTATAATGATGTTATGAGAAATGCAGGGAGGGCGAGGCAAAGCGAACACGTTCCTTTTCAGGGACCTCAACATGACTGAAGTACGGTATCCTATCGACATTGACCAGTTCTATTGCCCCCAGGCAAACTGTCCAGAACGGGTGAGGAAACCCACTCAATTGAATTCAGTCACCACCACTACCTCAACTGAAACCATATTGGCTGCGTTTGCAGGAAGGTGGTGTGGCCATAACAGACGCGAGGTTCATCAACATCCGGGGGACGTCCTCGGAGCAAGAGGCCATCCAGATCCTGTGCAGCAAAAGCGCGCCGTGCCACGGGATTTTTCTCCACAACGTTGACCTCTCTTGGGCCAACCACACGGCCCCAACAAAAGCCAAAATCCTAAATGCCCAAGGACGCGTCGCGGGCACGGTGAAGCCACAAGTACGGTTCCGCGGCCTTTGACCCCAGCGCTCTCCGTTGTGAACATAGTGCTTGGACATAGACAGAGGAGTAAGTGCAGAAATGCTTACCGTAGGTGAGCGCCACATGAGGCAGGGTAGCAGTGCTAAGATTGGATTGGTAGTAATGATGGCGGTTCATGCCATCTCATATCTGTCATGCCTACAACTTCGCAATATGTCCATTCTTCTATCTATAATATAAGCAGGAGCACCGAGGTGCTATCTATGGCAGCAATTCAGAGTATCTCGCATGATTCTGTCTCTGACCGGCCGAAAACCACATACCGGTTGTTCGCGACGTTGTCGTAGGCGAAGTCCCTCACAAACCTAGCCATGGCATCGCCACGAATTAGTAGTTTGCAATTGCAGTGGTTCAATTGAAAGCATGCAGTGTGTGTGTGTGAATTGAGCTTACAAAGGGGCAATTTTGAGGAACGCGGCGAGCTGCGGGAACGGCAGGTTCAGGTACTCCATTATCCTCAGCACGGCGTCAGACTTGATGTATGACCTGAGGGGCAAAGAACATTTCTCACCACACTTGGCCATGGCTGATGTCGATGGACAAAGGCAGAGCAGCTCGACCAGACTCGGTTTGGTTACCTGTCCTTCTCGACGAGGACGACGCTGGAGATGTCGTCGGGGCTTCTGCCGGACCTGCGCAGGAGCTTCCTCCCGGAGTCGCTCTGGAGGGGGATGTACCTGATGCTCCGGCCGGGGTCGTGCTCCCGCACGAACCGGACGCCGCCGTTGCAGAGGTTGCACACGCCGTCGAAGAGCATGATGGGCCTCGAGTCGGCGGGCTGGAAGAACTCGGCGTCGGTGGCAGCCTTCACGGGCTCCGCCGCCGCCGACGCGACCGCCCGTAGGCTCGGCCGCCGGAGTCCCCTTCCCCGTCCTCCCGTGGGTCGCGGCTGCAGCGGAGGCCCGCGCTGCCGATGGGGCGGCGGCGCAGAGGCAGAGGGCGAGCTGTAGCTGCAGCAGTAGCGCCCGGCCATGGTCGCCATCGCCTCCTTCCCTTCTCTCGTGTATCTGCTGTGCAGTGGCTTGTCCAAGCTTCATTTCTCTTCAGAGCCGAAGGCACGGTGCGCCTGAGGCTACGTGGCACGTCCAGCAACGGGTAATTTTGGCCGGGGTAAAACGGGCTTGCAGCCGAGCGGATTTGCTTCCAGAATTTCACATTCCAAACTAAAATTACATGAGAAACGTTGTATTAGTTCTGGCAAGTCTGAAGCATGGGAAACTGTCATCCCTGACTTTATTCTTCATCATTATGTAAACGATTTAGCTATCATTTGATGAATAAAGTTTATGATGCTCAAAAAGAAAATTACATGAGAAACACAGCGCCTGCATTCGCACCATAGTGGTATCAATCAACAAAATTACAAACGTAGAGCCTCTCCGGATTAGGACCAAACGGAGCACACGCGAAAAAGATTACTTCCAGCCAGCAGTTCGGAGAAAGAAATGCACACGAAACTGATTATCATCTGCCAAAGAGTTCACAAACACTGACACTACGAAAATACAAGTTAAACAAGAACACACGCCATGTCTGGTGCATTGGTTTTGAAGTTTTAAACAACAGCGATAACAAAGTAGAGCAACAGGATGTGGTCGCTACGGCTTTGTTTGGTTCTTCAGGCCTCCTCCTCGCCTTCTTCGGCATCTGCCGCAGCAGAGGCCATCAACTCGTCGAATTTCTCGCTCTTTCCCAACTCTATCTCAATCTGCATGAATCAGTCGCCGAGTCAGTTTTACTTGTCGAGAAGTGGAACTTCATACATAAGAGAATTAGCACATTGACAGACAAAGAGTAAGCCAAACTGTTGTTACTCTCTTACCTTAGCCTTTTGGAATGGGCGGCCTCTCGATTCGTCGTTTATTTCCACCGTGGATGTCCTAATCTCTACACACACCAAGGTTAAAAGAGGAAAGTTGAGAGTACATGATGATAAATGTGGAGAAGGTTCATGGCAGCATTGCTGGCCAAGATATATGATCAGACATAATCTGCATTACAAGGAAAGAAGACGGTTCTTACTCTTCTCAACAGCAAGGCCGTTGTTCTTCAGAATCTCCGCCACGGTTACAACCGTCGCAATGGCTGCAAACAGATCTTGGTTAGTGCCAACTTCAACAATAAAGAAAACATCAAACCACAGAAACTGAATGAATACGGTAGTGCCAATAATAAGTCCAGATGGCAGCCAGTAACTGCATATGTAATCAATCAATTTTACTCGAGAATCTTAGACTCATAGTTGTGTTTTTCTAGATACATGTATCAAAATGCCCATGGTTTGCGGAAGTATTGTGGATAGGGTCATAGTTATATGAAATTACTCAAGAGCGCGAGAGCGAACGGGTCCATAGTGTAATGGTTGTGGCTCCTGAGTAGCACCTCCAGTGCATGATTCCCCGTCGGAGCAAATTTCAGGGCTGGTTAAAAACCTCCCTCACTGGCAACTCTTATATCTGCATGGAGCCGGCCCAGCTAGTAGTAATGTGGCAGCCAGCCTGCGTGTGCGGCCTGTCAAGGTTCTTGGGGATTTGTCGGTCGGGAAGTGAGGTTTCTTCTTGCAAAAAAAGAAAAAAAAACGTGGGAGGCGATCTTTCCCCCACTGGCTGAGTACTCAAGAACGCTGTCTTTCCCCCACTGGACGAGTACTCAAGAGCGCGAGATACAATCCGCTTGACTTTTGCACAACTGAATACACAATATTCAGTTATGCAAACATGCATATCCCATGACAGGAGAATAATTAGAACAGATTAAACAAAAAATATCACAGGAGAATGTTAGGGTGCAATTCTTTTTATCAAATGAACTCACCAGTTTCTGAAACTGGCAACACCACAGTCCAGGGAAAATGTTAGGGTTTAAGCAATAACAGAATATTTTGCGGATCTAGCTGTCCCAAAAGTCTCCAGCGATTAACTACACATCTAAGCTAGTACATTCCCTTATGACCGCACAATCACTCGATCAAATTCGCGAAAACATGAGGCAGAAATCACACAATAATAGTGTAAACGTAGCAATCGGTTGCACAGGCGGCGTTACCAAAATTACATCCCTACTGGCATTCAATCAATCAGAGGCATGGCGGAAACAAGACTCACCCATCCCGAGCGCGGAGAGCTCGACGTCGCCGTGCTGCTGCATATACCTCTGCAGCCAACCAAGGAAGCAAATTCGTTTCAGAGACGGCGCCGACGAATGGGGGGATCGAACCAAAAGAGGTGGGTTGGCCGGCGCGGTACCTTGGCGAGGTTGACATAGAAGAAGAGGGGCTTCTTCGTGTTGGACACCTGGATGCGGTTGCTGCTGCTGTTGGCGCCCCGCCTCTGCCCCTCCCCGCCGGCGGCGGCGGCCGGCGCGTCGGCCGCGGCCGCCGCCCCCTCGCCGTCCTCCACCTTGAGGCCCCTCACGCCCTCGGTTATCTCCTCCACCGCCATGAGTGCTGGCTGACTGCCGCGCCGCAAAGCTGGAGTAGATCGATGGGATTTTTTCTAGGTTGTAGTCTCGACCACGTTGCGTGTGCTGTGTTCGTAGAGGGAAACGGACGGAGGCCAAGGAAGAAGGTAAGCAAACCCAGCAATCGCGTAACCCTACTTTGCTTGGGCTTTTTCTTGGTCGTTGCAGCCGGCCGACGTGAGAACAACGCGAGAGCTGTATCCCGCGGAAACCCCTATTTCACGCGCGTCGCGTCAAGTAGTCGGGGGTTAGCACAGGGGCACCCACGACTGGCCCGGCCGTTTTCGTTTTTTCGGTATATTTTTCTGCTTCTGTTTTCCTTTTTCTTTCCTGTTTCTTGTTTCGTTATCGAGTTTATTTATCTTTTCACAAAAAATCTTTGACTTTTTTGAGAAAAAATTAAAATCTCAAAAAAATTCCTGTTAAGATATTTCGTTCAGAAATTTTATAAAATGTTCAAAGATTCAAAAAAAAATATTTCTAAAATTGTTCACTTATTTTTAAAATGTTTGAAATTTCAAAGAAATTTAGAATTACAAAAAAGCTCAAAATTTTTAAAATTTTCTCACAAACTCAAAAAATGTTCATGAATTTCACAAAAATTTCTTTTTTTCCAAAATTGTTCAAAATTTCAAAAAAAACTCATGTTTTCAAAAATTATACAGATTCAAAAGAAATTATCCATGTTTTCCAAAAAAAATTCAAACTTTCAAAAATGATCGCACTTTCAGAAATAAATTGAGATTCCCGAAATATGTTTGAGGTTTTAAAATTTTATTTACAAATTTGAAAAATGTCCATGTTTAAAAAAACACTATTTTCATAAAAAAAAATTGCCATGGCTTATAGTTTTTATACCCCCGCGCTGCCGATTTAGACACTGAAGCTTACCAACTACAATTGCTAGCCACTAGGATCAACAACGATGGGTGGTTTGATTCATCACACGTGCAAGCCATTAAGATCAATGGCAATAGGTCTGTGGTTCGATTCATCACACGCGCATTATCCTTTTGGGATTTTTTGCGGCACCATTTGCACGATGTAGGGCCAGCCCAATTGGGTGAGCCCATGTTCCACGCGTCTGCTGGACGCAATGTGCGACAGGTAGGAGGACCCATATCTCGCTTATAGCAAATGGAAGGAGCTACTGGACCGGCATGATTCGCTATTTTGCTGCTCATTCGGTGGGTGTGTGTGACGCCCCCGATTCAATCGTACACTAATCATGCACGCAAATGTGTACGATCAAGATCAGGGACTCACGGGAAGATATCACAACACAACTCTACAAATAAAATAAGTCATACAAGCATCATAATACAAGCCAGGGGCCTCGAGGGCTCGAATACAAGTGCTCGATCATAGACGAGTCAGCGGAAGCAACAATATCTGAGTACAGACATAAGTAAAACAAGTTTGCCTTAAGAAGGCTAGCACAAACTGGGATACAGATCGAAAGAGGCGCAGGCCTCCTGCCTGGGATCCTCCTAACTACTCCTGGTCGTCGTCAGCGGGCTGCACGTAGTAGTAGGCACCTCCGGTGTAGTAGGGGGTCGTCGTCGATGGTGGCGTCTGGCTCCAGGGCTCCAGCATCTGGTTGCGACAACCAGGTAGAAGGGAAAGGGGAAAAGAGGGAGAAAAGCAACCGTGAGTACTCATCCAAAGTACTCGCAAGCAAGGAACTACACTACATATGCATGGGTATATGTGTAAGGAGGCCATATCGGTGGACTGAACTGCAGAATGCCAGAATAAGAGGGGCATAGCTAGTCCTATCGAAGACTACGCTTCTGGCAGCCTCCGTCTCGCAGCATGTAGAAGAGAGTAGATTGAAGTCCTCCAAGTAGCATCTCCAAGTATCATCTCCAAGTAGCATCTCCAAGTATCATCTCCAAGTAGCATCTCCAAGTATCATCTCCAAGTAGCATCGCATAGCATAATCCTACCCGGCAATCCTCTCCTCGTCGCCCTGCGGAAAAGCGATCACTGGGTTGTCTGTGGAACTTGGAAGGGTGTGTTTTATTAAGTATCCGGTTCTAGTTGTCATAAGGTCAAGGTACAACTCCAAGTCATCCTGTTACCGAAGATCACGGCTATTCGAATAGATTAACTTCCCTGCAGGGGTGCACCACATAACCCAACACGCTTGATCCCATTTGGCCGGACACACTTTCCTGGGTCATGCCCGGCCTCGGAAGATCAACACGTCGCAGCCCCACCTAGGCAAAACAGAGAGGCCAGCACGCCGGTCTAAACCTAAGCGCACAGGGGTCTGGGCCCATCGCCCATAGCACACCTGCACGTTGCGAGGGCGGCCGAAAGCAGACCTAGCCTAGTGGCGTTCCAGTCCAATTCGGCGCGCGCCGCTCCGTCGCTGACGTCTGAAGTGCTTCGGCTGATACCACGACGTCGGGATACCCATAACTACTCCCACGTAGATGGTTAGTGCGTATAGGCTCGTAGCCGACTCAGATCAAATACCAAGATCTCATTAAGCGTGTTAAGTATCCGCGAACGCCG